CATGAGTGGTACAAAAAGGGGTGTAAAGAAAAAAACGTAGGTGCCAGACTAGACGTGATCGGGCTACTTACCAACATGATATGATCGTCAGCCAAGTCCATTCTTGGAGAAGTAACTAAGGCGGATGAGGTTCTTTTAAGGCACCCGCATCACAAGTGAAAAGAAAAAGAACTCAAAGTGGCATACGTCCTGGCTTTACTCTCCGGGACCACCTAAATGTCCAAATTGCTCTAAGAAACATTTCTGGAGGTATTGCAATTTTAGTCACGTACATAAATTTCAGTTGTCTGTCATTAGTTAGGTAAATTTACTCACTTGGAGGCTTTTCGACCAATAAATACACTTTCTGAAAGACAATTTCCAGGAAAATTTGCCACCGGCGTTGAGTTTTTTCGTCATTAAGTGTACTTTTTGGTAGAAAATTCTTTAAATTGAATTTTTTAATTAGTTATAGTACAAAATATGCAAGCCAGTAAAATTACAAAGTTAATAATGAATACAATCAAAGTCGTGTAACTAAAATTGTAAATCTCCCTAATAAAAATGTTTGAATTTTATCATATTATTTGAAGATAGATTTTGAAAGATACACATCCACCATCACTTTTCAAATGGCAGACTCTTCTGGTGTTATTCTCTCTAGTCTCTATCCAGGAAGACATTGAGAAGGCAGCAATAGAATACTTCCAAAATCTATTTTCAGTTTCCCAAGATGCGGAGTTTGATGAGATTCTGTATCACAAACCTAAGTTAGTTAATCAGGAGCACAACCAATATCATTTAACTCTGCCACAGATGGAAGAAATCAAAAAGGCATTTTCGGATCTTAATAAGGATAGTGCTCCAGGTCTAAATGGCTTTAATGACACTTTTTTCAGGATACATTGGGAGATTGTTTGTTTGGATCTTCTAAAAGTTGTTCAAGACTTTTTTATGGGCACCTGAGGCCATTGGCAGCTCACTTATTGTACTTATTCCTAAGCTGGACAGGCCTACATCATTTTATTCACGTCATTCTACTTTTGTTAGCTAAGTCTTTAAAAAAGTGCTGACAACCAGACTCCATACTAAAATAGTTAATGGGGTGGCTCGTGGTTTTTTTAAACCCAAAAGGGGGTGAATGAGGGAGACCCCTTGTCTCTCCCTTTTTATTTTGGCATCTGAGGCCTTCTCTAGGGAGCTTAATGCTACTCTGGAGGCCAGTGATGTATTTCACTGCACATTTGATTTTTGCTGATCTTCTTATTTTTCATAATGGGGAATCTAAATCCATCGTGACTTTTAATAGATTTCTTTGCAATTATCAAAAGGCAATTGGGCAAACTGTGAATCTGCATAAAAGTACATTTGTTACCTCTAAACTTCCTGCAACTAGAATTAAAAGGATGGAGGATCTTCTGGGGATGAAACACTCTATTATGCCTTTGAAGTACTTAAGTTGATACCTTCATAAAGGAATTTGTTTTTAGATATTACGAAGAATTCATTAAAAAGTTAGATTCCAAATTATCTTCTTGGAAGCAGAAGAATCTCAGCAAGGGGGAAGTCTTAACATGTATTAAACTCAATTCCTCTACATGGTAGTTGACTTAATTCCTAAAAAGGTTATAAGAATCCTATAAAGAAAAATGGCTCATTTCTTTTAGGGTTCTGATAACAATAAAGATAGCTACCATGGGATGAAGTTGGTATCAGGTTTCTGAAAGGCATAAAGAAAGCATTTTCTCTAAAACTGTGGTGGAAATGGAAACAAAACATGTCTCACTAGGAAAAGTTTTATAATTCTAGATATCCTAGAAATGTGGTATGAATCCTAGTGTTACATACTCTATCATTTGAAAGAGTATATGCCAAATTAAGGAGTCGATTTTTTCGATTATATAATTTTTCAAATCAAGCTCCATACCCAAATTGGTCTTTAAACTTGAAGAAATGGAAGCGTAATGCCGGTTTTAATATTTTGCTGGAAGAAAAACTTATTTCATCAAAACTTAACAAATCAGATAGAGGTGAGATTAATCAAATGGATTCGACCTATGAATCTATTAAAGCTTAATGTTGATGCCTCTTTCTCACCCGATAGATCGATGGGTGGTGCAGTGATTGATGAGGTAGAATTTGTACTTCATTTTTATATTACTTTACTATAATTGTATGCTTATTATTTGCCTGATTGAGAGCCTTAGTGATATTTTGTATTAAAAATGATGTTTTATAGGTGGAGGGCCATAATTGAAGGATTTGATAATTCTTTGGGCTGAATTGAGAAGATAACAAGATGATGAAGCAAGTGTGTTACCAAATTTATGGGCTCAAAGCCAAAAACAAGAAAAGAGGTTTTTTCCTCCAAGTGAGGGCACCCACGGTGGAGAAAAGAGTATTTCTATTCACAGCCCATATTTTACTAAACACAGCCACTTTATTAAATAATAATGAATAAAAACAACTCAATTATCTAATCTACCCTTGAAAAATGCTAGGGGTACACGATTTGTGTACACCCTTGGCACCCCATTTAAATACCTTCCCTTTTTTACCTCACTTCCTCTCCTTCCCAACTCAAATTTTTACCCTATTTTCTTTTGTCTTCCATCCATCCCAATTCCCGCCCCATACTCCCGCACCCACTCCACGATTCGGACCGGCAGCGACACCATCTACGCCGAACCCATCCAGCGACGCCGGACGACAACCGAAGCATCCATCTACGCCGGACTGCTCTGCTCTGGAGAAACGAAGATCGTACCTCCAGGCGCTACTCCTCGTTCCTCGCGACGCCAACCGAAGCATCCATCCAACCGAGGTCAGGGTGCTTACCCATCCGCCTGGTGCTCTGCTCCAACTCTACGAGGCGCTTACCCATCCTCCTGACTGCTCTGCTCCAACTCTCTACGAGGCGCTGATCCAAGTTCAACTAAAAAGACGATAACTTTGAAGCCATGGTGCGAACAAGTTTAACCGATCTTGCTAAAAGGTAATATTTTCATCCTTGTGCAGTACTCACCTTACCATAATTGATTTGATTTAATTAAACTACATCTAATTTTCTTTATGTGATTTAAGAGTTGCCTGATATGTTGTTAGTGTGTTTTGAGATGTCTATGACATGTTCTGAATTGTCTGTCATTCATATTCCTGTGTCTGTCTTTTTTTTGTAGTTGTCTGTCAAGTGCTTAGAATTGTCTGTCTCGTGTTTTCAGTTGTCTGTCATTTGTTTTGAGTTGTCTGTAACAACTTTATAATTGTCTGTCATGTTTTCATTTGTTTGTTGTTCATATATCCTTGTCTGTCTTGTGTTGTGAGCTGTCTGTGAAGAATTTTTAAATGTCTGTGCTGTGATACATAGATGTCTGTCATTCTTATTGAGTTGTCTGTCTCATTTTGTGTGCATATAATTGTTGTCTGTCTGTATGTCCTTTACCATTAAATGTAGGTGGCAAATGTAGTCGCATGTGATATGAATGCTTCTGTACCTTCTCATGAGGTTCATGAATCTGTAGCAGAAATTGAGAATCATGTGGAAGTAAGTTTTATTGTGTTTCCAACAATAGAACATGTTTCCCCTTTCAATGCTTTTCTGAATGTCTGTCTTTCCTTTATTTTTGTCTGTCTGATATATTATTTGTCTGTCTGTATGTCCTTTACAATTAAATGTAGGTGGAAAATACAAATGCAGCTCATATGAATGCTTCTGTACCTTCTGATGAGGTTCACGCTTCTCTAGCTGAAATTGAGAAGCATGTGGAAGTAAGTTTTATTGTGAATGTCTGTCATTCCTTTATTTTTGTCTGTCTGATATATTATTTGTCTGTCTGTATGTCCTTTACAATTAAATGTAGGAGGAAAATGCAAATGCATCTGATTTTTCCCGTGTTTTGATCTTTTTAGTAGCCTTACAGTGCCTTACAATAAAAGCATCTGTGCGCATACGGTGACTTTGATCAGCCCTTACGTTGTGGTATGCACCTTTTTTTTCCTCGTGTTTTGATCTTTTTAGTAGCCTTACATTTTTTTTATGTTATGTTTGTAGCATAAAATCCTTAAGAAAGAGATACGCAACGACACACATTGGCATGGAGATAAATACCTGAAAAAGCTGGACTGGAAAAGTTTTTTTAGGGTATTGTCTGTCTAAGTTTTGTAAACGTCTGTCTGTTATTATTTCGCTAGTATTTTGTCTGTCTCGATAGAACACCTAGCATTTTTGATGAATTGTTAATTCTTGGCAGGTTTTGTTTCCTTTAAATATTGAAAACAAGCATTGGATCTTGGTGGAAGTTGTGATTCGGAGCAGACTGGTTAGAGTTTACGACTCGCTTAAGACTTCTAGGACTCCATTTTATGCTAAGGACTTGTGTGAGCGGCTGCCATACCTAGTTCGTGACACGGGTTTGTGTACGAATGACAGTGATTTGCAACCGTGGAAAGCAGTAGCTGTGGATGGTGTGCCACAACTAAAAGAATCGTATGAAATTCAATATTAATATGAATAACATTTATTGTCTGTGTAAGTGTTGTAACTATCTGTCTGGGATAATTTTGTCTGTTTACAGGTTGGGTGAATGTGGCGTGATGGTCCTTGCTTTTGCAGAGCAGCTACTCCAAGGGAAATCATTGCTTCCTGATTGCGACTATGGCAACATGTCGAACAAAAGACTTGAGTAGGGTATTCGGCTTTGGCGCTTGAAGAAGGAAGATGCGTAGAGTGTTGTAGACTTCATTTTTATTTGTCTGTGTGTGTACTATTTTACGTTTAACATACATGTATTGTCGGTGTTTTGCTCGACACATTAAGTCTGTCCGGTTATGTTTATTGTATGTGTACATATGTGCATTGTCTGTCTATAATTCGAAGCAAACTAACGTTGATAATTCATAAGAAACTAACCTTTCCATCCAACTCGTTATCATTCACAAACATTACGTTACTACGGGATAATAATGTTCAATTCACAAAATATAGTACATGATAATTCACTGCCACAAAACACAATTCATGCTGCCAGAGTCCAGACAGACAATTGCTTCTGCCAGACAGACAAATATTGTTTATTAGACAAAACTCCTTTGCCAAAACCAAATACGAAACGTCTGGCATTCACAAATATTGTCTGTTACACATAACTCTTTTGCTAGGACCAGACACGAAATGTCTGATACATACAAATATTGTCTGTCCGACCTAACTCTTTTACCAACCCAGACACAAAATGTCTGGCACAAACAAATATTGTCTGTCAGACAAAACTCCAATGCCAAAAAGTCAAGCATGAATTGTCTGGCACACATAAATATTGTCTGTTAGACAGAGCTATAATACATTATATGTAAAATACATTATCACCATATTGGTCATCTGAATCTTCACAAATCTAATTACATGTGGGTTACATAACTATAATAAAGAGCATGAATCTTGAGACCATGTGAATCTTGTCCACATTCTCCCAACACTATCCGAGTATACTAGCAAGTCATTTCCATGATCACCACTTTGACGCTCTTCAAACGTGTGACACATAGGCTCCTCCATCTCGTGACCATGTGAATTTGAGGTCTTTATTGTCCATCTTAATAACCTGTAAAAGTTTCAGTCTTCACTACTAGAGAAGAGATTAATCCTACCGGAAGGAGTACACTCCTGTGCAAGTCCATAATGAAGTAATATAAAATGGTATATTATCATAATGAAATAACAAAGAGAAGAATGACAGGCTTCATAAATCCACAAGGTGACCTCCACTTATGCTTACCAAACATCAATATTTCTATTTTATTCCACATAGAAATAATTGTATGTGCAACCCAAAAAATGTTCTTTCATCAAATACAATATATGCAATCCCACTCCAACTTCAAACCACACAAAAATGCGAGAGTTCCTTTTCTAACTACAAACATTCACATTCATACTGAGTACAATACCAATTGTAGAAATACTTCATAGCACAATGTTTTATGCACTGGACATTACAAGACCGGAATGTCAATAAGCCGTAGAATACCTAGTATAGCCCTAATGCTTAAAGGAGACTATAACAGTGAACCCATATCTACTTTATATGTTTTTTTGCATTTGCATATGCATTCGGAGTAAGGTATATTTCAAAAGCATCCAAGAGGACTACTCAAATAGTCACGTATGAGTATGTGTGTGTTCCCCCTTTTCTTAAAACAAAAACTGTTTAGTGTAAAAAATACAAGATAATTGAAGAGAGCATGCCTAAAAGAAAAAGAAACTAGCAAGTCCAGGGAACATAATGTCTCCAGACTCCAAACCTAATCATATCAATGGAGTAACTTTCTAGATACAACCCGCAAGTTGAACTTCAAGCTCAAAAGAGCCCATTTGTAACTCTTTCTTGATCAAATCCAACAAAGGAGCCAATTTGTAACTCTTTTGCTATAAAAACCTAATTTGGCTAAGGTTTAACACTAAATTTCAAAATACAAAATAGCAAATTTACAACAATAAAACAGTAAAGTAGTTAAAAAACACCACTATACCTATTTTGAATTGGAAAAGTATAAAACAAAATCTTAAAGTCATCAAACATAGTATCACATAAACATAAAATTCATTGAATCATTTCAACAAACATGTTATGGGCATAGTGATAACATGGTATATTTGGATAAAAATTTCAACAATAATCATCACAAATTTATCTCAATGACACAAAATAATCAAACATTCAACATTACTACAAATATAACACATGAAGTAAAAAAAATTGAAAGAAAAACGAAATAAGGAAGAAGGGGACATACTGGATGGGACGGGTACAGACCAGAAAGAGATAGAAGAGAGGGACGAGGCATTCGGTCACCAGACCTTCACTCCCTGTACACTTGATCTTCACCGGACCGATTATGGTGTATCAATCGCATTAGGGCTTTGAGGGGTTAGATGAGGGAAGAACAAAGAATCAACCCAAACGAGAACCAGTGAGAAGTAAAAGAAATGGGGTGTTTTTATATTATGATTTAGACCTCCATGAAAGGAGAGAGCTAGAGCTTTTGAAATGAAGAAGAGAGGAAAAATGGGGCTGAAACGAAAAAAGAGGCAGAAGGGGATAGCGGAAGATGGAAGAGAAACGGAAGAGAAGACTGGAGTAAAAGATGGTAAAAATAGGGTGCCTTTTATATGGTGTGCCAATGGTGTACACATTTTGTGTACACCTAGCATTTCTCATCTACCCTTACTCTAAATAACGATCGTTAAGCAAATGCCAGGATGTTAACCTCTCGCCTCCTCTCCTTAACCTTGATCGCACAAAACGCAGGTCATCACACACACACACAAACTCTCAAGCGCATAAGACCTGAGAAAGGAAAACGCAGGTCAGCACACACACAATCTCTTCTCTGAGATCATAGAAAGCACAAAGGTAAATGGCTTTCAAAAGTATTTTTTGTGGGTGGGGGGATACGACCTGGGATTAAGTGATTAACTGACCCCACAGACCTTTAAATCTTATTGCTAACATGATGGCTGACTTTTTGTTTTTGGACTTTTAACACAACCAAAGGGCTGTTTCTTATTTCTCAGTTTTACTCCAAAAATCAAAATACATGTAAAATTTGTTTTTTTCCCCAGAAGACTAAAAAATCAAAATATATGTAAACTTTGATTTTTTGCCCAGAAGTGACCTTTCTTTTTATTTTCTTATGTCAAACCAAATAATATATCCCGAACTTAATTTCCTTTGTGCTTTTCCCTTTCCCCACCATTCTTGTTCCAAACATATCCTTTGGTTTGGAAAACCGCAAGTGAAGCTTTATGTTGATAAGATGTCTGCATTTGCAATTTCAGTTCCTGTTATTTTGTAAAACTAGTGTAACTACAAGGAATGGTAGGTTTAAGGAGATTATTGATAACAAACGAATATAAGTAATCAAATGTAAATGAGCTCTGAATGATATCTGAATAGCACAACCACAACTGCTCGGGTATTCATGAATAGAGTTGCTTTTTCCTTGATCCTGCAGAGAAGGTTACAAAGACAAATGGTCACCAATGGGGCCTGATTTCCTTGATCCGCTTAATCACTCACATTCATTGCAACAGTTAAATGTTTATTACTTTCTGACAATACAATTCACAAATAAGCACAGTTTGATTGGAGTAAGTTATTTAAAAAGCTTGAGCTAGTTAAAAAAAGTTTCTGATTTTTTACAAATAAGTTAATTCGTTTGTAGTTGCTATTGATATTCTTTTAATTTTATGATCTTACATGTCAATTAGATGTTAATTAAATTCATTTGGTTAATAAATTACTAAGTTTTATCTTTCTTAATTGATTGCCTGCTATGAAACACTAGCAGAGCAGGGAAAACTTCGGTTTTAAATTTTTAACTATAGTCAACTAGGGAAAACCAATAGCACGATATGTGTGCACCAGGGAGAATCAAGTTGAGGCAGACATAGCACTCAACCAGAATGAGAAAAACATAAAAAACCAACACTTATCTCCAATACCTCATGAAATTTAAATTCAAGTAGTTACTTTTTACAGTTATCTGAAACGGCATTTTACTACCACTGCTTTGAGGATATCTACACCTTACAAAACAATTCACGGAATGAGTGAAAACATACAAAGACAATCAGCAGGAAACTAATGAGCAAAAAAAGGAGTTTCGACATGACCCAATCTTTAACAAACTCATCCAGAGTCTTGTTTAATAAACTAATTATTATCTTAAATATTATTATTGAGAGAGCCTTCTCCATTCACTCTAAAGTTTAGGTCTAATTATCTTTGAAAACATATCAAAAAGATCGGCACAAGAAGCAAAGACTTAAATGAATCGGATACAAGTATCCATGGAATTGTGTCGTTACTCTCCTAGAGACCACCGTTTCATTTCCGTGCCGGAGGAAATGGGATTCGAACCCGCTCTCTGTGCATATGAGAACCGACTGTTTCGACTTGGCTAACTGATCCATGGAATCCAAGTTGGCTGGAAGAGTGGATCCTCTTCTGGAAATTTCAGACATCATCTCATCTTTGTGTAGTTAGTGTTAGTTATTTTGAATCAGTCTTAATAAGTTCCTAATTATTAGGAAGTGGGTGTAGTTTGTTGGTGCCTTTCCTATTCCTTTGCTTGTAATCACGTTTCCTGGTATTATGGGAAACTTAGCTTTATTTCAGCATTTCAGTTTCTTTGTAAGGCTATTTAAAGCCACTGCTAGTTCATTTTCAATGTGAGACAGTTTGGTTTATCTGCTGCAACTAGTCTTTATATTTATTCTTATCATTTGGTATCAGAGCCTCTTCACAGGGGCCTGATTAAAGGAGAACAAAGATTTCTTGAGTGAAATACGAGAGGAGAAAGAAAAATGGCGGAAAGTAGCAACTTTGTGCAACCTGCCATTCCAAAATTTGATGGTTATTATGAACATTGGGCTAAGTTGATGGAGAATTTCCTTAGAGCAAAGGAATACTGGAGCCTAGTGGAAGATGGAATCGCTGAGATTCCAGATGGGAGAGAGCCATCAGGAGCAGAAGCTAGGGCCATTGCAGATCAGCAATTGAAAGATAAAAGGGTGAAGAACTACCTCTATCAAGCCATAGATAGAGAAATCATGGAAACGATTCTCAATGATGACACGTCCAAACAGATCTGGGACTCCATGAAGCAGAAGTTTGAGGGATCAACAAGAGTCAGGAGAGCACAACTTCAAACCCTAAAGGCTGAGTTTGAAACTCTAAAAATGAAGGAAGGGGAAACCGTGAACGCATATTTTGGAAGAACACTCTCTATTGCCAAGAAGATGAAAACATGTGGAGAAAGAATCATGGAGGCTGACATTGCAGAAAAGATTCTTCGCTCCCTGGCCCCCAGATTTAATTATGTGGTATGTTCTATTGAGGAATCAAACAATGTGGAGACTCTCACTGTGGATCAACTCCAAAGCAGTCTCCTACTTCATGAGCAAAGAATGATAGGTCCTATAGAAGAAGAGCAGGCTTTGAAAGTCACTTATGAAACTCGAAGGGAAAGAGGCAGAGGGTTACCAGGAAGAGGCGCAACAAGGGGGCGAGGAAGAGGCAGAGGAAGACAGCCCTTTGATAAGTCAACTGTGGAGTGCTACAAGTGTCATAATCTGGGACACTTTCAATATGAATGCCCTAGCTGAGAGAGGAGAGCTCACTATGCTGAAATAAATGATGATGATGAGATGCTTTTAATGGCATATGCAGATCTCAAGCAAAGCCGGAAAGAAGGTATTTGGTTCCTTGACTCAGGCTGTTCAAATCATATGTCTGGAAACAAAGAGTGGTTCACTCATCTTGATGAGGGATTTAGACACTCTGTAAAGCTTGGGAATGATTCCAAGTTGATGGTCATGGGGAAGGGCAGTATAAAGTTAGAATTTGAAGGACAGGTGCAAGTGGTAAGTGATGTGTATTTCATACCTGAACTACGCAATAATTTGCTTAGTATTGGTCAGCTACAGGACCGTGGCATCACCATACTAATCAAACATGGAGCATGTAAGCTGTATCATCCAACTCGTGGACTCATAATGAAAAGTATCATGACTGCTAACAGGATGTTTGTAGTCATTGCAAGCGTTATCATGCCATTCTCATGCTTTAGTGCACACACCGAAGAAAAGAGTGAAATATGGCATAAACGCTATGGGCATCTGAGCTACAAGAACTTGATACTGCTACATAATAAGGAGATGGTTCGGGGGCTTCCGGATATCAAAGCACCAGAAAAACAATGCACAAGCTGTATGCGAGGAAAACAAAACAGAAAGGTGATACCAAAGAAGAGCAAGTGGAGAGCTACAAGGCAACTTCAACTTATTCACTCAGATATTTGTGGTCCAATTTCACCTGCATCTTTTAGTAACAAAAGGTACTTGTTAACTTTCATAGATGATTTCAGTCGAAAGTTATGGGTGTACTTTCTAAATGAAAAGAGCGAAGCATTGACATTTTTCAAAAAATTCAAAATGATGGTGGAAAAGGAGTGTGGCTTTTCTGTGTGCAGCCTACGGACTGATAGAGGTGGGGAATTCAACTCAAAAGAATTCTTAGATTTTTGCACTTCACAAGGGATTAAGAGACAGCTAACCACTGCCTATATGCCTCAGCAGAACGGAGTTGCAGAGCGTAAAAATCGAACCATTCTCAACATGGTGAGATGTTTGCTTGAAGAAAAGAAGATGCCCCATATGTTCTGGCCAGATGCTGTGAAATGGACCTGTCATATCTTGAACCGAAGTTCCGCTGCTTCACTGGAAAACAAAACTCCAGAAGAATGTTGGAGTGGGCATAAACCTAATGTTGACTATTTCAGGATCTTTGGATGCATTGGAAATGTTCACATACCTGATGCAAAAAGAAAGAAGCTGGATGTAAAGAGCCAAAAGCAAGTGTTGATTGGATATAGTGATGAGTCCAAAGGATACAAGTTGATTGATCCTTGTACTAACAAGGTAACAATCAGCAGGGATGTGGTTTTTGAAGAGCAAGAAAGCTGGAACTGGGCACACACGATGAAAGGACATGAGCATGATATTCTTGATTGGGGTGAAGCTTATGAAGAAACTTACAATCAAGGGGAAGAAAATGAAAGTGAAACTGATGAAACTCTCTCAAATGAAGGAGATGCAGATGGAAACACCGGCCTTAGTGATACATCAGTAGATGAAAACACTTCTGAACCACGAGCCCGAAGAAGAAGAACTCCAGCTTACTTAGAAGACTACACCAGTGGAGAAGGGCTCTCAGAAGATGAGGTACAACAAAATCTTGTTCTTTTTATATCTACTGATGATCCATTGTCTTATGAACAAGCAGTGAAATCAAGAAAATGGAGGGAAGCAATGGATCTTGAAATTGAAGCAATTGAAAGAAATAACACATGGAGACTAGTGAGTGCTCCCCCTGGAGTGAAGGTGATAGGAGTTAAGTGGGTCTACCGAACTAAGTTAAAGGAGAATGGAGAAGTTGACAAATGCAAGGCAAGACTAGTTGCAAAAGGCTATGCTCAAGAAAAGGGGATAGATTACACTGAAGTATTTGCTCCAGTAGCCAGATGGGATACCATTCGAACTTTGCTGGCTGTAGCAGCAAGAAATCACTGGAAAGTGTTTCAGCTTGACGTGAAAAGTGCATTTCTGCACGGGAAAATAAGTGAGGATGTGTATGTATTCCAGCCACCAGGATATGAAGTAAAAGGAGAGGAAAACAAGGTCTATAAACTTGAAAAGGCTCTCTACGGCTTGAAACAAGCTCCAAGGGCATGGTTCAACAGAATTGAAGGGTATTTCATCAAAGAAGGATTTGAAAAGAGCTGTTGTGACCATACTCTATTCATCAAGAAGCTTGAGAACTGCAAGATTTTGATTGTAAGTCTCTACGTTGATGATCTTATTTTTACAAGTAATGATCTTTTAATGTTGCAAAATTTCAAAGCTTCGATGAAAAATGAGTTTGAGATGACTGATCTTGGAGAGATGAAGTATTTTCTGGGTGTGGAAGTAAAACAAGACATCGGTGGAATCTTCATCAGCCAAAAGAAATATGCTAGTGATATTCTTAAAAGGTTTGGAATGGGCAGCTGCAATGGAGTTAAGAATCCAATAGTTCCTGGAATCAAGCTGTCGAAAGAGGAAGGAAACAATGCTGATGGAACCTTGTTCAAACAGATTATTGGGAGTCTTTTATACATAACAGTCACAAGACCTGATTTGATGTATTCTGTTTGTCTGTTGAGTAGGTTCATGGAAAATCCAAAAGAAGCACACATGCTAGCAGCAAAAAGAATCATGAGATACGTTCAGTCCACTGTTGATTTTGGTATTTTCTATGAAAAAGGTTGTACAACTGAAATGATGGCATACACTGACAGTGACTATGCTGGTGATATAGATGATCGGAAGAGCACTTCAGGATATGTGTTTTTGTTAAGTAGAGGAGCTGTGGCTTGGGCTTCTAAAAAGCAACCTGTGGTAACATTGTCAACCACAGAGGCGGAGTATGTTGCTGCCACTTCATGTGCCTGCCAATGTGTCTGGATGCAACGACTTCTGAAACAACTTACAGGCATTCAAGATGATTCAGTAAAGATTCTCTGTGACAATTCTTCTACTATCAAACTTGCTAAAAATCCAGTGTTTCATGGAAGAACTAAACACATTGATATCAGATTCCATTTTCTTAGAGATCTTATAAATGACGGGTTAATCAAGATGGAGCATTGTGGGAGCAATGAACAGCTAGCCGACATCATGACCAAACCATTGAAGCTTGATCAATTTGAGAAACTCCGAAAAGAGCTTGGTGTCAGGCGAAGTCCTGAATTAAACTAACATGTAGCTGATCGACATGTTTAGTTTAGGGGAAGGTTTTGTTAGTTATTTTGAATCAGTCTTAATAAGTTCCTAATTATTAGGAAGTGGGTGTAGTTTGTTCGTGCCTTTCCTATTCCTTTGCTTGTAATCACGTTTCCTGGTATTATGGGAAACTTAGCTTTATTTCAGCATTTCAGTTTCTTTGTAAGGCTATTTAAAGCCACTGCTAGTTCATTTTCAATGTGAGACAGTTTGGTTTATTTGCTGCAACTAGTCTTTATATTTATTCGTATCAGTTAGGATATGTGTGGCCAATGAAATGTTCCTGTAAGGATCGTTTCTTCCGTCTCCGGCTCAGGTCTTTCAACACACACTCTCACACACCACACTTAGGAGGAGGCTATAGCACACACTAAGGTTTTTAGCTCAACCACTAAGTCCCTCTCAGTTCTCACACAAAGGGAAAGAGAAGGAGAGCACTGCTCTCAATAGAAGTGTTTCTCGCAGGCTGCCACAACAAGGGAGAAGCAAAGCTACTAAATAATAGGCTGGTAGACACAAGGACACTCACATGTGATGCAAAGACAAGGAGGGAAGCATAGGACAGCTCAAAGGGGTCACTCCACATAAGTCAAAATGGCCATATTATTGGTTAGGAGAGATTCAAATAAAGAGGTGCCAAAGTGGGAGTAAACATGGGGTGCAAGTCAATAATAAAGTGGAAGGGAGGCCTTGGTAGGACCAATACCTCCAACATTCTCCACCTTATTGGTCCTAGGTGGTGTAGAGTAGCAATACAAAGTTGTGAGGAGACTCATCATCGCCGGACCATTACAAGTACATCATTGCGATCATACAAGTAATAGATGAGAACCAAAGTTCCCTTTCGGACCAAGCTTACCGTGCAAACC